ACCCTCTAAGCCACGGGCTCTTCTCGCTTTGTCGGCTACACCAGGGGAGAGATTAAGTGTTATAAAACTCACGTTGAGAAGGGTGTCTGCAGAGGTATCCCGTGCCTTCCTTCCTTGAAGTTTTCCTAGGCCCAAGTTCTGGGTAGTCCAGGATTGTGTTCCAGCAGTGGCACATTGGACCAATGTCATCTTGTTTGTTCCCACAACAGCAATGGTTGTAAGCCCTCGCACAACCATTCATTACAAAAAATTTACTGGACAGTTAGAACAATGAATCAGTGGAACGACTTGCCTCCAGAAGTTGTGAATGCTCCAACGCTGGAGGTTTTTAAGAAGAGATTTGGACAGCCGTTTGAATTGGTATAGGTCAGTGATGGCAAATCTTTTTGGGACCCAATGCCCAAACTGGAACACGCGTACATATGCATGTACCGGAGCATTGAAAACCCGAAGACCAGCTGGCTGGTGCGCACATGCCTGTTTTTTGGCTTTTTCTGGGCTGGTTTTCAAGCCGTTTTCAGGCTGTTTTTCCGGCCGTTTTCCGGCTGTTTTCTGGTGCTATGGTGCCTGCGAAGACCAAAAACCAGGAGAGCAGCTGGTGACGGTACACATGCCCACCGAGAGGGCTCTGCACATGCCATAGGTCAGTGATGACTAACCTTTTTGCCATTGCGTGCCAGGAAGGGTGTCGCATGCGCGCGTGTCCATACCCATAATTCTATGTGCTCTGTCCCTGCGCATGCGCGCTTCCCCTGCTCCTGGCACACTATGGCCTGATAGGCCCGTTTTTCTTTCTCACCTGGCTCCAGGGCCTCTGGGAGGGTGAAAATTGCCTCCCTCCCCCCACCCGGAGATCCTCCGGAGGCCGAAAATGGCCCGTTTAACAACTGGTGGGACTGGAAGGCCCGTTTTTTGCTGTCCTCAGCTTCCAGGGCCTCTCTAGGAATCTGGGGAGGGCAAAAATGGTCTTCCCCGCTCCTCCGGAGGTCCTCCAGAGGCCAAAAACGGCCCGTTTAACAACTTCTGGTCCCACTGGAGCTGAGCTCGCGTGCCCACTGATATGGCTATGCATACCACCTGTGGCACACGTGCCATAGGTTCGCCATCATGGGTATAGGTCTTTCTCCCCTCTTGCGACCTTCTGACAAGCAGCGTCAATGGGGGAAGCCAGATGCACTGAACAACCATGTTGCTAACTTAAGAACTGCAGTGATTCACTGAACAGCTGTGTGGTAAGAAAGGCCGTAAAATGGGGCAAAACTGACCTAACAACTGTCTTGCTGTTGGAAAATTTGGGCTCAATTGTGGTCGTAAGCTAAGGATTACCCTTACCCTGGTTACCCTGGTTATCTACGAGACCGCCTGCTGCCACCAGTAGCCTCCCACCGGCCGGTATGCTCTCATAGAGAGGGGCTCCTCCGGGTGCCGTCGGCCAAACAATGTCGACTGGCGGCCCCCAGGGGGAGAGCCTTCTCTGTGGGGGCACCTACTATCTGGAATGAGCTCCCCCCAGAGATACGGAGGATCCCGGATCTACGCACCTTCCGCCGCGCTCTTAAAACCTTTTTATTCCATCAGGCTGGCCTGGCCTATTTTTTTTTCCCTTTTAAAACACAAATTTTAATTTGTTTTTAATTTATTGGAGTGTTTTTAAATCTGTTTTCGGCCAAATTGTTTAATTTGGTTTTATTCTGTTTTTAAATTTTGTATTTATGTGTTTTTATCTTGTGGCTGTTGACCGCCCTGAGTCCTTCGGGAGTAGGGCGGTATACAAATCAAATAAACTAAACTAAACTAACTAACTTATTTAATTTTGTAGGTATCTGGTCCCTGAACATGGATAATACTGTTGTGTTTAATAACCACTTTTGGGTTTTCTGTCTATAAGAATGGACAACTTCCTTGGAATGTGTCCATAGTCATTAGATTTAATCCCCATACCTGTCTCCTTACGGGGACCGCCTCTGCCCTATTGTCTCTACCTGTAATGGTAGGTGAGAATGGCCTTGAACGACGGGGCAAAGAAATGCTGCCTAGGAAACGGTCAGATAAGAAAAGGCCATATAATGGGTGGAGAAAGACTCAGAAGGGATCCACCCTCATTTCCCGGGCTGCTAAGGAGACGGAAGAATTGTACTTTCAGACGCGCAAGTTCCTATTAAGGTGAACAGTACAGGTAGTCCTCGACTTAACGGCCACGTGTTTTCTGTGGCTAAGTGAGACGTTCGTTAAGTGCGTTTTGCCCCATTTTACAAACTGCACGTGACCTTGGGATGAAGCAATTGTTGTAAATGCAGTATTTTTAGGACTATAAGAAACACTTTTTTGTCTCCCAAAAGGGGGGGAAAATGTCTGTGTGTCTTATAGACCGAATATTGCTGCAGCTCCGCCCACCCACTTGTTTTTCTGAAAAAACGGGCTGAAAAAAGCCTTGAAAATGGACCAAACCCCCCCTCAAAAATGGGCTGAAAGAAGCCTCAAAAATGGGCTGAAAAAGGCCTTAAAAATGGGCCAACCCCCCCCCCTCAAAAATGGGCTGAAAGAAGCCTCAAAAACAGGCTGAAAAAAGCCTCAAAAACAGGCTGAAAAAAGCCTCGAAAACGAGCCAAAAAAAAGCCTCAAATACGGGCCGAAAAAGCCCTGAAAACAGGCCGAAAAAAGGCTGGAAAAGGGCCAAAAAAGGGGCTGAAAATGGGGTACGCGGAGGCCAAAAACCTTTTTTGTTGTTTTCCTCTTCTAAAATTAGGTGCGTCTTATAGTCAGGTGTGTCTTATAGTCCGAAAAATACGGTACATGCCAGGCTCCCGAATTTTGATTTCATGTCCAGGTGGACATTACGATACTCCTGCAAAGTGTGCATATATAAACGTAAAGGTTCCCCTCGCACATATGTGCTAGTTGTTCCCGATATATATATATCTAAATCATTTTTTTCAGCACCTTCGTAACTTCGAACAGATGTTAAACAAATGGCTGAGAGTGGAAGACTATCTGTATTAAAATAAATGAATATAAGGAACATGGATAGGAAGTCCTCGACGTACGACCACAACAGAGCCCAAAATTTCTGTGGGTTAAGCGAAACATTGGTTAAGTGAGTTTTGCCCCATTTTAAGACTTTTCTTGCCACAGTTATTAAGTGAATCACTGCAGATGTTAAATTAGTCCCACGGTTGTTAACTGGAACTGGCTTCCCCATTGATTTTGCTTGTCAGAAGGTCGCAAAAGGCGATCACATGAGTCTGGAAGACCGTCATAAATATGAATCAGTTGAATTTGAATTTGAATTCTGATCACGTCATGGCGGGGAGGCTACGAACGGTCGTAAGTATGACAAATGGTCTTAAGTCTCTTTTTTTCAGTGTCGTCGTAGCTTTGAACGGTCTCTAAACGGACTGCTGTAAGTCCAGGACTACCTGTAAAATAGAATTAATTCATCTTCTCATGTTCTCCCTGTATGATCTTCCTCGTAAGGCTGACAGTTAAGGAATGTCGGCCAGCAGGGCTCAGGAAAATGGCCTTTTCTGCCATGGCACCTGCTCTATGGAACATCATTCCTCCTGAGATTCTCAGTCATCCAGGTCACAGTTGCCCCAAAGGTGCTTTTTCAAAAGACAACTGGATTTTTTTTTTCATTGAAGACGTTTCACTTCCCATCCAAGAAGCTTCTTCAGTTCTGTCAGAAGTGGAGAGAAGTGAAACGTGAAGAGAAGAGAAGCAAAACGTCTTCAGGGAAAAACAAGGAAAGTCCGGTTATCTTTTTGAAAAAAAAGCATATTTGGGACATTCCTCCTGAGGTTAGGTTAATGCTGACCCTGCTGTCCTTTCTCAAAACCCTAAAAATATGGTTTTTTTCCTCAGATCTGTAGCCCCAGAAGTGTAATAGAAGCTGTCCCTTGGTTTCTTGACAGATGTTTTATAAAGCTCAGCTGCCATGTTTTTAATTTTAATTTATATGTTTTATTTGTGTTTTATCTATTTTCTGGTAAGTCATTTAGAGACAATAGAATAGAATAGAATAGAATAGAATAGAATAGAATAGAATAGAATAGAATAGAATAGAATAGAATAGAATAGCAGAACAGAACAGAACAGAACAGAACAGAACAGAACAGAACAGAATAACAGAACAGAACAGAACAGAACAGAACAGAACAGAACAGAATTCTTTATTGGCCAAGTGTGATTGGACACACAAGGAATTTTTCTTTGGTGTATATGCTCTCAGTGTACATAAGGAGAATAAAATACATTCATCAAGAATAAAAAGTTACAACACTTAGTGATAGTCAAGGTTACTAATAAGCTATCAAATCGTACTAGGAAACAAGTAAAAACAATATAAATTGAAAGATACAAGCACATGGTTATAGCAATAAGTGGGAAGAGATTGATACTAGTGAGGAAGAGAAGAACATATGTGAGATAACAACAGAAAAATTTATTTGAATAATTCCTGAACTATTTTCCTTTCCTGACCGTAACTAAGAATTCACAAGCTTCCAGTCCCAAAACTTTGTATAGATCGTCCTCGACTTAACAACAGTTCATTTAGTGACCGTTTGAACGGCCCGGAAAAAAGCGACAGGACTAATTTTCATACGTACGACCGTTGTGGCATCCCACATCCACACAAACAAAATTCAGACGCTTTGTGCCACAGACTTGTATTTATGACGGTTGCCGTGTCTCGGGGTCACGTGTTCACCTTTTGTAACCTCCTGACAAGCAAAGTCAACGGGGAAGCCACGTTCACTTAATAACTGTGGCAAGAAAGGTCGTAAAATGGGGCAAAGCTCACTTCACAAAGGCCTCACTTAAGCAACCGAGATATTGGGCTCCATTGCGGTCGTAAGTTGAGGAACTACCTGTGCCCATCCCCTATTGTTGTTAGAAGTTGAGAAGATCCATCTGCTTCTGTTGTTCTTTCCTACGATGGGTCGGCGTGACTTCACCTGGTGTCCAAGATATGACTGCTGTTCTTTCTTTCTCCGTGACAGGAATACGAAAAGGCCCTGAAGTACATCCGGGGCCTGTTGAAGACTGAGCCAAGCAACACGCAAGCTTTGGAGATGGAAAAACTGATCAAGAGAGCCATGCAGAAAGGTTAGGGGCAGTGGTGGTATTCAGCTGGTTTGTAGCAGAGATCACGGGTGGGCGAGCGCATGTAAGGAAGGCGCGCGCGGGGCGAACCTGTGGTAAAAATATGTGAAACCCACCTCTGGTTAGGGGGCAGAGGTGGGGTAGAGAAGGCCGGTCCTTTTTAGCTCACATCGATTGTACTGGATCCCAGTCCAAAGAACAACGGCTAATGGGATTTTCCCCAATCTGCTGTTATTCTTTTTAACCTCTGGGTTATCCTGGTTTGTAAAGAATTGAGCTAAACACAGCTTCACAGTTGCGAGACCAAAACGTGCACTAATCTAACCCTAACCATGAAGCAGAAGTGCCCAGACACGTGAAATCTTGGCTTTTAACAAATGCAACAAACCTGGATGATTAAAAGGTGTTATTTCTATCTAGAGAACTATGAAAGTGGGAGGTGGTACACTCTCAGCAAACTGGTTTTATTTAAATATACATACATACATACATACATGCATACAAACATACCAGTGGTGGGTTTCAAAATTTTTTACTACCGGTTCTGTGGGCGTGGCTTGGTGGACATGGCGTGGCTTGGTGGACATGGCGTGGCTTGGTGGACATGGCGTGGCTTGGTGGGCGTGGCAGGGGAAGGATACTGCAAAATCCCCATTTCCTCCTGATCAGCTGGGATTCGGGAGGCAGAGAATAGATGGGGGCGGGGCCAGTCAGAATTTTTACTACTGGTTCTCTGAACTACTCAAAATTTCTGCTACCGGTTCTCCAGAACTGGTCAGAACCTGCTGAACCTCTGAAACATACATACATACTTGTGTTTCCCTGAAAATAAGACCGGGTCTTATTTTCCTTTGGGCCTCAAAATAAGCACTAGGGCTAATTTTCAGGGGTGTCTTATTTTTTTTTCCCCATGTACGGGAGGCCCACTTCTGCTTGCTCGTGGCCGCAACGGAACATTAGGCAGAGTGATGCACCAGTGCTGTGGACATGAAGCGAGGCGGTGGAGCTGCCCCACGTGCCCTGCACTGACTTACCTCAGGGCTCCCGCAGCCAGGCAGTCCACACCCCGACACTTGCCTCACCTCGCAGCCGTGGCACCAACACACCACTCGGCCTCCTGCTCTGTTGTCACCGCGAACAAAGCAGAAGTAGACCGGCAGCCATGTGGGTTCCTGCTGCACATAGCTGCTGGTGCTGCCACCGCGAGACAGGTGTCGGGGCGTGGATGGCCTGGGCTGCGGGGGCCCTGAAGTAAGCCGGTGTGGGGCAGATTCATTCACTCACTTTGCCTCGTGGCCGCGGCACCTCAACAACAAAATGGGCAGCCATCTGGCTTCACAGGCTCTTAAGTAGGGCTTATTTTGGGGATAGGACTAATATTAACCTAAATCTTCTCCCCTTTTTAAATGTAAATTTTAATTTGTTTTTAAATTGTGGGGTATTTTAAATTTGTTCAGCCAAATTATTTAATTCGTTTTTAACTTATTTTAAATTTTTGTATTTATGTGTTTTATCTTGTGGCTGCTCATCGCCCTGAGTCCTTCGGGAGAAGGGCGGTATAGAAATTTAATAAAATAAATTAAAGAGCCTTGATAGTACAGTGGTATATGCACCCTGTTATTAACACAGCTGCCTGCAATTTCTGCTGGTTCGAATCTCTCCAAGGCTCAAGGTTGACTCAGCCTTCCATCCTTTCTAAGGTAGGTGAAATGAGGACCCAGATTGTAGGGGCAATAAGCTGACTTTGTATAAAATATACAAAAGGATGAAGGCTATTGCTTAACGCATTGTAAGCCGCCCTGAGTCTCCGGAGAAGGGCGGCATATAAATCAAATTAAAAATAATAAATAAATAAATAAATAAATAAATAAATAAATAAATAAATAAATAAATAAATAAATAAAATAAAATAGGCACAAATGTATAAAACAGCCTAGGGCAGTGATGGTTAACCTTTTTGGTGCCGAGTGCCCAAAGCGTGTGCATGTGTGCGAATGCACGCGCGTGTGCCCAAATCCCCAAAATGCAATGCAAGCATCCCTGTGCCCCATTTTGGCTTCCAGATTGGTGCAGGAGGCGTTCCAGGCCAAACCCCGTGCCCCATTTTGTGCCTAGAAAGCCTCCTGCACCAATCTGGAAGCCAAAACGGGGCGCTGCGCAAGACTCCTCCATTGCCCCATTTTCAGCCTGGAAAGCCTCCTGCACCCCCCCTCTGCACATGCTCCCTGCCCGCCCAGGCGTGCGCAGCAAATACATTAAGACTAGCTTGCCGGCAGGAGGCGCATGCGCGGTGCAGCTGGGCTGGAGCGATGGCTGGCACGCCCGCTAACCTTTTTGCCATTGCGTGCCAAAAGCAGAGGGAGCGCGGGGGGGCGCATGTGATAACCCCCGCTCCCCCCCCGTTTTTGACACGACTGTTTTTCGCCCTACCCAGGCTCCAGAGGGTTTCTAGGAACCTGGGGAGGGCGAAAACGGCCTTCCCCACTTCCCGGAGGCTCTCTGGAAGCTGGAAACAGCTCGTTTCCTGACTTCCGGTGGGCCCGGAAGGCCTGAAAACCAGCTGGCCAGCATGTGCATGCTTAGTGGAGCTGAACTAGGGCAATGCTCGCGTGTCCACATATATGGCACCACGTGCCACCTGTGGCACACGTGCCATAGGTTCAACATCACGGGCCTAGGGCTTATTTTCGGGATAGGGCTTATTTTCAGGGAAACGGTATATATACATGTATACACACATACATAAATATAGGTAGTCCTTGACTTACAGCCCTTCTTTTAGTGACCGTTCGAAATTACAGCAGCATTAAAAAAAAAAAAAGTGACCCATGACTGTTTTTCACACTTAACGACGGTTGCAGTTACGACATGATCAAAATTCAGACGCTTGGCAATCGGCATGCATTTATGCCGGTTGCAGTGCCCCAGGATCCGGTGATCAGCTTTTGTGACCACCTGACATGCAAAGTGAAAGTGGGAAAGCCGGATTCCCTTAACAACCGTGTTACTAAGTTAACGGCTGCCGGGATTTGCTTAACAACCGTGGCAAGAAAGGTCGTAAAATGGAGAGACGCGACCTAGAAATAAGGAGAGTGACAGTGAGAACAGTGGAACGGCTTGCCACCAGAAGTAGTACTCCCAACACTGGAAGTTTTGAAGAAGACTGTGGAAAGCCATTTGTTGAAATGGGGTAGGGTCTCCTGTTTGAGCAGAGGGTTGGACTAGAAGACCTCCAAGGTCCCTTTGAACTCACTTATGCTGTAAAACGAGCAAAACTTAATTGTTTCACTTAGCAACCGAAATTTGGGCTTAACTGTGGTCATAGGTCAAGAACTACTTATACATGCATGCATATATACATACATACAGTAGTGGCCAAAATTGTGGAAACCTTTTGGGGAAAAGTGTATTGTCTAAAACTAGCTAATAACACCACTTTTTTGGGGGAGTAGTACCATAAAATTATATATCAGTGGAAAGATAATTTAATCAAGAATGTAATGCAAGAACTTTTATGAAGGATTTGCTATTAGAATAGCAGTTACAGTATAAAGAAGAAAAGTGAAACACGTAGAAAAGAAAACAAGATATACAAAAATGATCACCATAGAAAAAATGAGATATACAAAAATGATCACCATGTCAGTTAACACGTAGTTGGGTAACCTTTAGCATTACAACGTCTTACAACGTCTTCCCATGGAGTGAACCAAGTCTTTTAGTTCTGCAGCTGTTATAATGTGAAACCAAGGTTGAAGGATTGCTTTTATTAACTGGGTTTTATTGCTGGATTGCTTCTGACTAACAAGTTTCTTTCGTCGGCTCCATAGATTTTCAATTTGGGTTAAGGTCTAGGCTATTCCCAGGCCATCCCAGCAGTGGGATAGGATTATCTTGAAACTCCAAAAAAATAAAAAATAAATGGTGTTGTTAGCCATCAAACCTCCAAAATACACTTTCCCCAAAAGATTTCCACAATTTTGGCCACTACTGTACACTCCACAGCAGTTAATGTTTAAAGATTGCTCAGTAATTGTGTGTCTCTGAAAGGACCCAAGCTAGGATTGATGGCCAAGGGATCTTGGTTGACCTCAGGAAGGCAGGCGTGGCGGCTACTACTCCTTTGAAGGGGTGGGGGGTGAGTGGGTGGGAGATGAGTTGGTTGCCATGGTAACAGGTTTGTCCCGCATGCCCCTCTCTCCCTTTCGTCCAAAGTCCCTTCGGCGTGTCCGTCTTTAACTGACCCTCAAAGATGACACCCCCCCTTTCTTCTTGTTCTCTCCACAGATGGCTTGGTTGGCATGGCGATCGTTGGCGGCATGGCGTTGGGAGCAGCCAGTCTGGCGGGCCTGATTGGCTTGGCCATTGCCAAATCCAAATCCTAAGGCGTATAGGGGTTAGGCCTCCCTTCTCTTCCTCTGGTGGAGCAGCCCGGCCTGGCAGCTTGGAAGACCCAACCCTTCAAGAGAAGCAAGTGGAGGGATGATTCAAAATTCTTTATGTTTTTCTTCAAATGTCACTAACGCTGACTCTAATTCCTGGATTTTCGGTCCTCTTTTTTTTTTTTTTTTTCCTGCCGATCAGCTGCCACGCTCATGAGGGCAAAGGGCCATGATAATGCAGAATTTGCCCAGAGAATGAGGGTGCCCTGAGACTATAATCCAATTTTTCCTCTTGCGTTAATCCAAGATGAGGTTCTTCTGCTTGTCTCTCCTCCACTGATACAAGAAGACGTACTAAGTCCTCTCTGCCTTTCACTTGTCCCAAAAGTTTGGAGGTCTCTTCTGCTGAAGTACGGGAGCAAAACCACCTTGGTGTCTCTTCCGGAGAAAAAAATAGGATGTCCTTCTGCCTTTCGGATGAAGCTTTGATCAAGTGCTGGAGACAAGGCAGCCTTCTGGGATGGGTGGGAAAAAGCAGCAAGTTTTCCACCGGCAGAATATTCCCTTCACAGTGTGTGTAGTCAGGATGAGTCCATGGTTAACACTAGATTTTTTTTTTAATTTCCTTGTAATGCTTAGCCGGGTAGGCTCCTGAATTCTTTCAATTTCTTTTTTAAAAAAGTCATTTTTGTGAAGGTAAAGAGGCTGGGTAGGCTCAGCAAGAGGCCCACCTGTTTGGGCCTCTGACAATGGACAATGGTATATGAGTAGTCCACTCCAAGCCACACCACCTCTAGCTGAACTACAATACCCAAAACTCCTCGCTCTTGACCATGTTAACCTAGACCTGCTTAGATCTGAAGCTCACAAGTCAGCTAGCTTGAGTAAGACGTCGGTCTATATCTGAGGTGGGGAACCATGGCCCCCTTTATGACTTGTGGACTTCAACTCCCAGAATTCCTGAGGGAACTATGGCCCCCTTTATGACTTGTGGACTTCAACTCCCAGAATTCCTGAGCTGGCTGGCTTAGGAATTCTGGGAGTTGAAGTCCACAAGTCATAAAGGGGGCCATAGTTCCCTCAGGAATTCTGGGAGTTGAAATCCACAAGTCATAAAGGGGCCATGGTTTTCCACCCCTGGTTTAATTGATACCCTATCATGAGTGTTGGATGGTTCACACCATTGGAAAACATCATCTCTTTTTTTCCCCTCTCCTTCAATGAGGTATTTGTATCGTTTTCTAGCCTCCGGGTGGCATGAAGGAAGAATAAAATTCATTGAGAGAATGATGTCATTGGTTTCCTCAACTCTTGGTTTCTGCCTTTCGGGAAGGGTGAAGGAAGGGCAAGCCGCAAATCAGGTCATTCGTGAGAACGCTGTAAAAACGTTGCGTACTGCGCTTGCCTCAGATGTCAGGATGCAAATGCGTAGCCGTGTTTGCACACCTCCCCCCCCCCCGAGCCCGTTATCGTATTGGCACCCTTTCGGCAAGCCACCAATGGACCATGATCCCTTGCCAACCTTCCTTCCTTCCTTCCTTCCTTCCTTCCTTCCTTCCTTCCTTCCTTCCTTCCTTCCTTCCACTCTCTCTTTCCCTGTCTCTCTTTTTTCTTTCTTTTTCTTTTTCTTTCTCTCCCTCTCTCTCTGTCTCTGTCCCTGTCTGTCTGTCTTCCTTCTTTCCTTCCTTTCTCTGTCTCTCTCTGTGTCCCTGTCTGTGTGTCTGTTTCTCTCTTTCTCTGTCTCTCTCTTTCTCTCTGTCTCTCTGTCTTTCTTCCTTTGTCTCTTTTTCTTTCTCTTTTTCTCTGACTCTCTCTTTCTTCCTTTCTTTCTCTTTCCTTCCTTCCTTTTTTCTTTCTTTTCTTTTTTTCTTTTTTCTTTTTTTTCTTTTTTCTTTTCTTTTTTTTTTCTTCACATGTCCTGGGTTCTCTCTCTGAAAAGAGAGTTATTATCGCAGGTAATAATATTTCTATAACCCTGGATTTTTGCCAAGGTCTGCCTGGATAATAACCACCTTTTTGGCTCACCTTGTACTCTGATGCATTGGCAGCAAAAAACGGCTTAATTGCTTTGAAAGAACCCATGCCAAGTGCAGCAACACAACCCAAGGCCGATCTTCGAAAAGGTGCAGATGGCCAGTTTCGCAAGCCGTCGGTCTTGGGGTGGGGGCCAACTCATGCCTGTGAAAAAGACCTGTGCACCACCTAGAACATTCCAGAAATTTTCAAGGTAGCTTTCGAACTATAAGCATGTTCCTTGCCCGGTTTATAGAATGACTAGCAAGAAAAGTGGTTTTGTTCCTGTCTGGTAGTTTGTTCTATCCGGCACTTTTTTATTTTTCTTCCTAGATTTTAAACCTAGAGCGCAACAGTTTTGCTCTCTGGTGGCTTAGCAGCCGAGGCGAAGAACTTTCTTCCCATATCAAAGGTTGTGAAATAGCTGTAGCTCACATTAAATTCAAGATCCTCCCTTCCAAACGACTACTTCCGTATGGGATTCGGCCTGGTTCAATGGCTGGTGCCTCACTGAGAGAAGGAAAAGGACTTAAGCTTGAATCTGTGTGGAAAGCTCGACTTTTTTCTTTTTCAAAGGGTGCCTTACCTTTCGTGGCACTGCTTGATGGTTTCTTCAGAAGTCTGCAAAGACTTGGCTGTTCCTTCAGGGACCAGGGCCAGGATGTTCATGGTGCTCTTGCATTGGGTGGGTGTGAGATTTTGGGAACGAGATTTTTATCGGGGCCTAACCTTGGTTTTTCTTTGAAAGGGTTTTAGTTTTGGCCACCGGCCACTGTTCCATGGGGTCAGATACTGTAAGTCATCATAGGAAAAAAAGAAGGAAGGGAGTGATGAAGGAAGAAGGGAGGGAGGGAGGAAGAAAGGAAAAAGAAAGAAAGAAAGGAAGGGAGTGATGAAGGAAGAAGGGAGGAAGGGAGGGAGGAAAAAAGAAAGGAAAAAGGGAGGGAGGAAGAAAAAAGTAAAAGGAAAGGAAAGAAGGAAAAGTAAAGGGAGATAGGAAGGAAGAAAAGGGAGGAAAGGAGGGGAAAAAAGAGGAAGGAAGAAAAAAAAGGAAGTGACGCAAGAAAAGAAAGGGAAAAAAGGAAAAGAAAAAGAGAATGAAAAAAAAAATAGATGGGCAAGTCTTGGGAAAATAACTTAAATAATGCTATGTGGCAAAACATGCATTGTGTCTTAACTGAGCATGCAAAATCGTCCTGTTTGCACAGGACTCTAATCCTACATATTTATTTACCCTGGGTAGTTTACCTAAAAGGAGCTTTCTGGTCTAGATGCCTGCTTAGAAATAAGCCCCATTATTTAAAGCCAGCTTTTGTTGAGCCCAAATGGGTTGGTTTGCTTTTGGTTTCAGTGCCCTTTGTGCCAATCCAACTGTGGTAGTTTAGAAACATCATTGCTGTGAAAGATGCCTTTGTTGACTTATTCCACAAACCACAACTGAGCGCAAAGTGTTGGACTCTAGTCCACGGCTAGGCCCAGGCCAAGCAAACAAAAACCAGGATGTTACATAGTTGCTAAGTTGTGGTTTAAGGTGTTTTTGACGACTCGCCTAGTCACACTGCATAGCTTGATAAGCGAACAATATTAAGTGGGTTAGTGCAAGTATATATACCGTGTTTCCCCGAAAATAAGAACCTGTCTTATATTTTTTTTGAGCCCTGAAATAAGCGCTTGGCCTTATTGCCATGCGCTCAAAAGCCCGATTGGGCTTATTATCAGGGATGTCTTATTTTGGGGGAAACAGGGTAAAAGTGTGGCACTTAATTTTGTATGTGTAAAAAAGGATGCTGGAGCTGAGAAAAATCACCGTGCTTTTCAGAGTATAAGCATTTCCCCCCCCCAAAGAGGGTGGAAATGTCAGTGTGTCTTATAGACCGAATACGGCCATTTTTGGCCTCCCAAAACACACACACCCCGCGGGTCCCGTTTTCATAAAAAACGGGACGTGTAGAGGGTTTGGGAGGCCTTCAGAGTGCTCCTGCGGGCTGGGGAGGACAAAAACGGGATGTGTGGGGGGTTTTGGGAGGCCAGAAACGGGCTCGTTTTTCACAAAAACGGGACGCGCAGAATGCTTGGGAGGCCTGCAGAGTGCTCCTGGGGGCTGGGGAGGGCAAAAATGGAACACATAGGGGGTTCGGGAGACCAAAAGTGGCCTATTTTTTGCGAAAACGGGTCCGTTTTTTGAAAAAATGAGATGCGCAGAGGGTTTGAGGGCCTGCAGAATGCTCCTGGTGGCTGGGGAGGGCAAAAACAGGATGCGTGGGGGGGGGTTCAGGAGGCCAGAAACGGGCTCGTTTTTCACAAAAACGGGACGCACAGAGGGCTTGGGAGGCCTGCAGAGTGATCCTGGGGACCGGGGAGGGCAAAAACCCGACGCGCGCAGGCCAAACACTGTGGTTTTTTTCTTGTTTTCCTTTTCGAAATCTTACGCGTCTTATACTCTGGTGCATCTTATAGTCTGAAAAATACAGTACTTTTTAGTGCCCTCTGGAATCCAGCTATTCACCACTGTTTTGTTTCCATTTCATGAAATTTTGACCCTTTTCACTTGCTGTAGAGTCCTGTACCTTTGTATAAAGATATTATTATTATTATTATTATTATTTTAAATGCTTTGTCCAGCTTCCCTTGTTCTCTTTTCTTTCCCTACCCATCTTTTCTAAAAAAATTTCCATGAAATGTAGGTGGCGGGGGAGGGGGGGAGAAATTTCTCAGTTCGCCCAGCTTGACTTTCGGTGTTGTCTGATCCACGTGTTAAACATCCAGATGTGAGTCACCTCCCTTCAACTTCCCCAATGGGTTCTTGTTTCATTCACTCAGAAGTTTTGGCCAATTCTGTATTTTATTTTTTGTTTTATTTTTTTTGCTGGGACAAAGCACTCTTTGCTTTCAAAAGGAAAAGGGCAGTTGAATGGGTAAAAGCATTCCGTGACGTCTTTAGAAATGAAAACGATAATTTCTAGGAAGTAAGGAGGAAAAAAAAAAACAATAATTAGGATTTATCCACCCCCCCACCCCCAGTTTACTGGTTTCTAAGTTGTGCAAGCTACAGAATTTTGATCTTTCATGTTCAGTTGTGACTCTGAGACAAGACTTGGCTAGGCCCCAGCGAAATTCATGGGAATTAAATTACTCATGTTTGTGATGTGAACATTCTCCAGGATGTATCTTTAATAACAATATTTTAGAAGGGTAGGTAGCAGGTATGTGGCTATAATGCTCAAAGTTATGCATGGTATTCATCCTGCCTCAAACTAAAAAGACTCCGAAAAGTCTGTATGTTGACACTGAAAAAAAAATATATTTTCTTGATTTGACTGCTCTGTGTCCCGGAA